TTGAATGATAAATTGCCAAGCTGGCATGAATGAAAAGAAAAATGTGAAACTTAGATGAAAAAAGATCATCAAAACCTTTAAAAAAACGGAAATGATGATATTAGCCAAGAAAATTATACTTCTTCTATTCAATTTTAATAGTTCTACTTTAATTTTTTAAATATCAATTTTATATGAAAATTTAAATAATTAAATTTTTTTTATCAAATAAAAATATTTAACAAGTATTACAAATAAAAAAAAGTATTGTTTATATAAGTTGTTTTTTGCCTTCAAATATGCCTACTGCATAAAGATATTGAACTTCCAAAGGAGGTAGAGGTAATTCATGCCGAGAAATTCTTCCTCAACGAATGCAATAGTTGTGTTAGGCTTGTGTGTCACTGTTTTAGAAGCAAATATATATATATATATATATATATGGTCGTTTGAATTTTGAAACTTGAACTGGGCGACTAGGAAATGTAAAGAATTTTGAAGGAAAAATCTTTGTGCTACAATAAACAGCTAAAACTATATTTTTCTTAATTATTATGCTCTTAATTAGATACGCAAGCTAGTGGGTATATAAAAGTTTTGCATCAGGTTTTAAGTTGCAATTGCAGTTATATGTATCGGTTTTCAAAACCCTTTCTAGTTCTAGCTTTCAACAATGGAAAAGTTTAAGTTTCACTTAGCCACATTCATCCTCCTCCTTTTACGCACCATGGCCTCCATCTACTACGTTGAGATTGACAAGGCAAACATGAGAAGGCATGGGGGTAGAAAGATAAATTTTTTTTAATACTAACGGAGTACTATAATACTCCATTATGCATGGCAAATAACCCATCAAAAATACATGATCCCCTCAGTTACACCAAAATACAAGAGAGAATACAATCTTTGGATTCTGCCTATCTCCTGATTAATCTGATGAGTTTAAGAAACGAGCAGCGATGGTTATTTATAAGCAAGAGTGTTTGAATCGAAAATCACCGTCAATTCAAATACCCGACCGTCTCGTGAAAGGAGCAGAATAGAAAATGTAAGAATTGAATAGCAATTCCTCCTAGACAACGAGAGGAAAAAGTAGGCCACCAAGCCACGCCAAGCAAGGTAAGTGGAGGACTAGTATTATTATAATCATTTTCGGTGTAAGTAGTGGAGGAGTTTGTATTATGGTAGTTGTCATTGGGCCCTACCTCGGCGTAAGTGGGGGGAGCCCACTTTATTTAATTTTAATTCTTATTTTAATATTGTTTGCTTGCTTCGTGTAATCCTAGCATTCTTTCATCTAATCTAATCTTAGCTCTTTAGTATTTAATTCTTACATCTCTTCCCCCGCTTGGTTTTATGTAATCCAATGAAAAATTTTATATTATTATTATATTATTACAAGTAATATTATTAAATTCTAAAATCATGTTACATACGGTTCGTTTGAATTATATATTTTTAATAATTATTAAATATAATTATAAATTTTAAGAGAAATTTCGGCTTAAGAGATTGAGTTGGCAGATGTTGGTGGAGA